TTGGCATGTACCTGAGCTCAGAGGTGTCTGTACCTCCAGGGTCTGTACAACTTCCAACAAGTGACCACGTCTGAGCCAGGAAGGATACTGAGCACCTCACATGCACTGTCGAGTCGCATTTAGTTTTCTCAGGAACTCTGTAGAGTGGGCAGTGCTGTGCCCATCTTGTGGATGAGAAAACTGAGGTTAACAGAGGCTAACTTTTAAATGTGCAAAGAATAGGTTAGCAAAACACTAATAAATGGACTTTAAGTGCTGACATCTCAGGTGGAGGAGGGGGAGAGGAAAACAATGAGAAAAATATGTGAAGGCTCGGCTCAAATCAAATGCAGGTGGGAAGATCTGAGTTCTGATCTTGGCAAGTACACACCAGTCTCTGAGTCTTTTATCTGTAAAATGGCCATAATTGTATTTTTGCTGTTCACCTTATACAGCTCTAGGAAGAACAAATAAAAATGTCTGAGGGCAGGCCCTCTGCTAAATTAGACTTTCTGTCTAAGACAGTGGTTCTCAACCTTCCTAATGCCGCAACCCTTGAATACAGTTCCTCAGGTTGTGGTGACCCCCAATTTCGTTGTTACAAATTGAACATAATTAAAGCATAGTGATTAATCACAAAAACAATATGTAATTATATATGTGTTTTCCGATGGTCTTAGGCGACCCCTGTGAAAGGGTCGTTTGACCCCCAAAGGGGTCGCGACCCACAGGTTGAGAACAGCTGATCCAAGAGGAAACAGTGTGTAAAGTAAAGAGGAGGAGCGAGTGGGGTGCGGGGCAGCAGCACAGCCCGCACTCGGCCCCAGCACTCCACGGCTGGTGATTCTAAGTAGCCGCTGAGCCTTAGGTTTCTTATCTATAAAGTGGAACTTGTTAACCTAAAATAAAAGGCCTCTCAAAGTAAGAGGCATCAAGCATCTATTTGAGATCAAAGAATAGCTGTTTGGGAAGCACTGATTCAGGCGGAAGCCCAAAGCATGTTTCGATTAGGAGACAAAGCCAATAGCACTTATGAGAAGAGGAAGGGGAACGGTTACATCAACAGGAGGAAGGCCTTTCCATTGGTGCAGATAACATAGCACGGTGATGCTAATTCTAAATAAGGCTTTGAATTTTCAGTCTGGTAGTCATCAGTTCGCTAGTCATAATATGTACTTTCTTGTTATCTTTGCAAACAGTTTTTGGGGTCATACTGTTGCTTTAGGCCAAGTCCAACGGTGATTTTTGCCCGTTTTAACATTCCAAAGGTTTGAGGTATAAGGTGTGCAAGGCCATTCCTCTGGAATGGCAGCTCTGGCTCCATTTACTTATTTAATTAATTTTTATAATCTAATAAGGGATTAAGGTGAGTATTAAATAACATGAGATAACAGGAACTCAAAAAGGTTGAAAACAGGATTGGAGAAAGATATAACTGGGCAACTTTGAAACAAAGAAAGCAGTTTCATATTAGATAAAATAGAATATAACTCAAATATATCATAAAGACAAAGAAAGGTGTTATCTATAATAATAAAAGTGCAATATGCTAATTAGACCAGACAGCCGAACAACCTCCCGGACATCATTCCGAATGTCCTTCCGGATGAAGCCACGGGGGCCAAGGCAGAGGCAGTTAGGGGCGATCAGGCAGGTAGGCAGAGTGGTTAGGGGCAATCAGGCAGGCAGGCAGAGTGGTTAGGGGCAATCAGGCAGGTAGGCAGAGTGGTTAGGGGCAATCAGGCAGGCAGGCAGAGTGGTTAGGGGCAATCAGGCAGGCAGGCAGAGTGGTTAGGGGCAATTAGGCAGGCAGGCAGAGTGGTTAGGGGCAATCAGGCAGGTAGGCAGAGTGGTTAGGGGCAATCAGGCAGGCAGGCAGAGTGGTTAGGGGCAATCAGGCAGGCAGGCAGGCGAGCGGTTAGGAGCCAGCGGTCCCGGGTTGTGAGAGGAACATCCCCCGAGGGGTCCTGGATTGCGAGAGGGTGCAGGCAAGGCTGAGAGACCATCCCCCCACCCCGTGCATGAATTTCGTGCACCAGGCCTCTAGTAGTCTCATAAGAGTAGCCATAACTAAGAAGATATAATCATGGCCATATATATTGTATAAAATAAACCAACAACCGACAGACTGCATGGAGGAGATAAGTCAATAGTTGGGTTTAAAAGTTTTCATACATTCCGCTCTGAAAATAAAAAAAGTAGACAAAGAGGAAACAAGAATAAAGAATATTAAAAGGACATGATTAATAACTTGATCACACATGGAACAGTCATAGGAATTAATCACGCACTAAGCCACAAGGGCATTATCAATATATTCCAATGAATTGTCAGCCTACGACTGTCCAGACCACAAAGATATGAAATTAGAAAACAATAATGAATGGATTGCTGTAGAAATCTCACGTGTAGATTTCTAAAAACATTACTATTTTAAAAAGTCGTTGTTTAAGAGGAAGCAATAGTGGAAATTATAAAAGAAAAACAATGAAACCACTTTGTCAAAAATTTTAGGGGAATTTATAACAAATTATTCAACTCTAAGATTCATAGAGTTCTACTCTAAGAACATAGAAAAGCAACAGTTTTATTTTTTAAATTACAGTTTACATTCAATATTAATTTGTATTAGGTTCCAGTGTACAGCACAGTGGTCAGATAGTCATACACTCCACAAAGTAAGATTTAGATCAAATAAGTAAGAAGGAAGGAAATAAAAAAGATAAGGATGAAAATAGAAAATTTAAAATAAAGGAAAAGGGGACGGAAAATTAACAAAAGTTAGTTTTCTGAAAAGATTAATACAATAGGCAAAATATTTGTCAAAGTTTGATTATGAAAAAGAAAAGATGAAAACAATATGGAATGAAAAAGGAATAAATACAGGCATAACATAACGATACAGATTTACTAGTAAAATAATAAAATATTATAAACAACTACATATCAATACATTTGAAAACCTAGATGAAACACATTTCTAGAAAAAAATGTGAATGCCACAATTACCACGATAAGAGATAAGGAGACCTTGAATACATTGCTAAGCACTAAAGAGAAAAATGGTAACTTCCCACCCCCTCAGGCTAAGATGGTTTTCTAGGTAAGATATCCTAAACTTCATGGATCAGATAGTTTATATAGTTATAAGTTGTTCCAGAAAAGAGAAAGATAAGGAAAAAGCTATCTCACTCATTTTCCGATTTATTGTAAAATCTTTTTATCAAAAGCAGATATGAACTGAACAAGAACAGAAGTTGTAGGTATCATTTCATATCCTGAGCGTATAAAACCTCAATGAACTATCAGCCGACTAAACATATTACGAAAAGGGGGGTTAACCCAGGAACTTGAGATGGTTCTGCTTTAGAAAGAAACGTCCGTTAAGTTGACCACATTAGTGAACAAAAGGGAAAAAATAATGTATCTCACTAGATATGAGAAAATATTGAATGGAGCTCAAACCCTTAAATAATGAAGCTCTCGGGAGCGTAGGATTTGAAGAGAACTTCCTCCTCCTGACAGAGGCTGTGCTCTAAAAATGTTCAGCAAAAATCGTGCTCAACACCTTGTGGACGGGTCACGAGAATTCGCGTGTTTTCTGTTGGAAGGCTTGTGGCCAATCACGAGAATTCTTTAAAAAGCTATAAGCTTGTAAGAACATGTGATAAATAACTTCAAAATGCAATAGGTGTTGAATTTTAAATCGCGCCTTTAACATTTATGTAAAACGTTTTTTGCACTCACTCCTTCAGTAGAAACTTATCTGGCCACTGGGTAAAGGTAGCAATAAAACTACTGGCCTGCAGTGTGTTAGAAACGTCCCTTTGAGGTCAGGGACAAGATAGAGATGCTCGCTACCACCCTGCTAGTCACCCAAAGAAAGAAATAATAAAGATAAGGGCAGGGAGCAAAGAACAACAGTTGTTATTATTTGGAGATTATAAATGTATGTAAATAACCTCTGAGAATCAGTGAGTGATTAGAGCTAGTAACAGATTTCAACCAAGTAGCCCAGAAAATGAAATTTCTAATAACTGTAAAACTGTCAAAGTCAGCTAACAGAAATGTTCAGGTCTTTCATAGAACGCAGTTTGTGATCCTATGTGAATACAGCATGTGAATTAATAGAGGGAAACATTTTGTTCATGGATGCAGACTTAATATTGTAAAGATGTCAGTTCTCTTACAATTTATCTATAAGTTAAAAAATAGAGCAATCAAAATCCCAGGAGGATTTTTTTTTTTGAGACTGATAAGATGATGCTAAGGTTCATATGGAAGTTCAAATACCTACAGTTTTCTGAATCAGCCTAAAAAAGAAAAGCAAAAAGAGGGATTCACCCTACCCAGGATACTGCAAAGCCAGAGAGATTAAAACAGAATGGTAAGGGCGCAGGAACAGACCATGCTAAGTTCAGCACCAAGTTCAGCAACACATGAAAATGCACACGACTTAGGAGGGAAGTAGCCTCACAAGTTAGGAGAAAAGTAGACTTTTTTTTTTTTTTCTAGTATGTGATGTTAGAAAAGTGCCTTAGAGCAGCGGTTCTCAACCTGTGGGTCGCGACCCCTTTGGCGGTGGAACGACCCTTTCACAGGGGTCACCTAAGACCATCCTGCATATCAGATATTTCCATTACAATTCATAACAGTAACAACATTACAGTTATGAAGTAGCAACGAAAATAATTTTATGGTTGGGTCACAACATGAGGAACTGTATTTAAAGGGCAGAAGGTTGAGAACCACTGCCTTAGAGTGTAGAGAGAAATGAAATGATAAGCCTATCTCACCCACTATTTAAAAATTCCAGATTGTAGAGGTAGATGTAAGTACAACAGCTAAAGTATAAAGCCAATAGATAAAAACAGAGAGTAACTGAGAATTTGGAGTAGGGAAAGATCCCCGAAAGACAATGATAATGGAAAAATAGAGTAATTTGTCTACGTCGGGCTGAGTACTGGGTACTAGGAGCTGCTCCATAAATGTCAGTCTCTTCATTTCATTCCCTGGTCCAGACCTAGTCAGGGACACCAAGAAGGCAGCCTGGCTGCTGTATGGCTCCCTGGGGAGAGATGGCAGGGCCGAGTGGCCAAGGAGGGCCTTCAGAGTGCCTGAGGCAGAACCTGATGGTCTCTTCTTTTCTTGGTCTGAATTGCTGCTCTGTCTGGGGGTTCAGGCTCGCTGTCTGGAGGAATGTCTTAGCAAGAAGCCTCCCATGCAGGCCTGGGTGGCCCAGAGACACCAGACTCAGGTCATCAGTGCGGGTCCTGGGCATCCCGCAGCTGTCCTCACCCTCAGGGTGAGTGTGGGTCACGCTAAAGCAAGAGATGGGCTGGCCAGTGGCACCTCCCAGCCACCCCTGCTGAACTCCAGAGTCATGCCAGGAGCTTGTTAAAAATAAGATGGAAGGCCCCGCCCTGCCGCACTGATTCAGCAGCTGTGGGGCAGCTCAGGATCTTCGACTTAGTTTCCAAGTGTGGCCAACCTGGATCACCTCTCCAGGGTCCAGGAGATGAGAACTGCTCAGCTCCCAGGGGTGCAGAACTGCCTGGGGAGAAAGGGGTATACAGATATGTAAGTTTGCCTGGGGCAGGATGAGTGGGAAGTGCAGTGGTTAGGATGGGAGGAGTGTAAGGATTCCAGCCTGAAGGTGCCAGTGCGAGCCCAGCTGTAAACAAACGCTCCTCTGTGATGCCCCCTCCGCCCGCCCCCTCGGTTCTGAGCCTGCACTGGAATGGTCTGTGACTTGCCTGCTTCCTTCACTAGCCTGGGAGCCCCTCGAAGGCAAGCACATTGCATGCATTCATTCATTCATTCATTCATTCCACAAATATGTATTAAGACATTCGCATGCCAGGGGCAGGCCCATTATAATGGGGACGCAGGCTGAGTCAGCCCACTAGAACTTCCAGTCCGGTCAGGAGGCAGGCAGGGGGAGCGAGCAGCTCCAACCTGTGCTAAATGCTGCGGGGGAGAATCAGCAGCCACGCAATGGGGACACTCATCCCCCACTTGCGAGGGCTGGATGGTGATGAACGGGGTGATTAAAGGAGAACAGGGAAGTGCTGCAGCCCCACAGAGAGGTCTGTGCGGCCTGGGCTGGGGACAGAAAAGGTCAAGGTGACTGCACTTCAGATGGGAGGGCTGTTCTGGGGGATGAGGCCAGGGTATGGGCTGGGGCCCCCACAGAGCCCACGTGCAGGCGTTTTTACTTCAGTGCTGGGCCTTGTGGTAGGGACAGTGAGAGGTCCCACCCTCCACTCCCCAGGTACCCAGCGTGGGACCTGCCCGGGGCAGCTGCCGGGAATGTGTGGTGAACGGGCTGCTCTTCTCCAGCCGGACTGGGGGGCCTGACCCCAGCTCCTGCCACTTCCTTCCCCATCATCCCCCTCTGTTCTGGGGCCTGGGCCAGCTCTCCTTCTGGGAACCAGGAAGTATTCCTTCAGCACCTGAGCCTCAGGAGGACTGGGCTCCTCTGACCTTGCAAGTTAAGAACTGTGTCCGCTGTGTCCGTGAGAATTCAGTGCTCCGCCTCCTGGGGAATGGCTCTCCCCTGGGCAGGTGGTCTCGCCAGGGTCTGGGCCTTGAGGGCATCCTGAGGCTTGGTGGGTGTGCACTGGTGTGAGGGCTGCATGGGCACCTCTGCTCAGTCCCTGGACAGTGAGCCTTGAGCTCTGATGGGAAGGGCAGGCCCTTCCTCCACCTGGGGAGGCCCGGGGCCCTGGTGGATCTATCCGAGCCGGCCTGCGCTCTGGGACTTGGGCCATGGCGGCAGCAGTGGCCATGTTATCAGTCCATGTGCCGGCCGCCCCGTACACTCTGCCCTCTGTCTACCCCAGAAACCCCGGGGGAGGGGGATGAGAAGCTCAGCAGATACACGTGGAGACTGAGACCCTGTGGGAGGGTAGTAAGCTCCCTGCTTCCCAGCAGGTCGGTAAAGGTTAGCCAACGGGATTTGCACTTCATCTTGGGCACCTGCCCGCTTCCGGGATGTGCAGGACTCAGCGGCAGCACTGGCTGGGGTGTGACCTGGAGAGAGCTCTGCTGTGGGACGACCCCCCCCCCCCCCCTCCCCCCGTAGGGGCCTCCTTCCTGGGGAAGGGGTGGGGCTCTGGTGGGGCTCCTGGAAGCTGAGGGTGGTCCCCCTCAGCAGCCCATCCCCCACTTGCTAGTGTAATAAGCAACAGGATGTCCTTTCTGGCTTTTCAAATTGGTAGCAGTTACCATTAGAGTCTGCACAATCACAGTACGCGGTTAAGTGAAAAAAAGCTGTGACCTCCATTTCTGTGAAAACTGCGCATATTTGCTTCTGGAAAAGACTGAAAGGAAATGTATCAACCTGCTAACGCGACTGCGGCCGTTACCACTGGTGGCATTCTCTGATAAAATATTTCCCTTTGGCTTAGCTACATCTTCTAGTTTTTCTACCGAGTATTGGGCCATTAAAAGGAATAGGGGGACAGAATTTGCAGGAGCAAACTCAGTGTTATGTGGGGAGAGGCTCAAGTGGGGGCTCCTGGCTTCACCAGGAGGGTGGGCCTTATTTGCACAAGTGAATGAGCGGGTTCTGGCCTGTGGGCCAAGGGGAGGGGGGAGAATAGGGAGGGGTGTTCCCAGAGCCACCCAGGAGGGCACCCCAGGCCGGGACTGGCGGAGCTGGTGTCTGGTGCCCGGTCCGTGTCAGCCGTGCGTGGGCGCTGCCTGGTTCTCGCAGCTGCCCCACTGGCCGGGCTGCTCCTTGAGGGCAGGGCCGGCTGAGTCGCTGTGAGTCGCTGGCCAGGCGCCTGCGGGAGGGAGGGGACCTGCCCCGGCGCCGCCTGGCTGGCCCAGGCAGCCTGTCCGGTTCCAGGAGCGTGCAGGTCTCCAGTCTAACTTCCCCTCGGGCCTTCTTTTTTCTAGATCCACTTCCCGGACGTGGAGCGGGTCGAGTGGGCCAACAAGGTAAGGCCAGGGCACCGTGCGTGGGACTGACCTCACTCCAGGGCCGCCCCCTGCCCTCTGCTGAGTCACCTGCAGGGATGGGGCGGAGGGCGGGCAGCATGTGGGCCCAGGCCCTGCCTGCCCCAGGGGTGGTGGCCTTCTCCTGTCTCTCCCCTTAGCCCTTCCCTCCCTCCCGGTTCTTCTCATCACCAACGACTTGCTCTTCTTCGAAAAACCATGCTTTTCCCCGTGTCAGTAATGCATGGGCGCAGCAGGAAAGTTAGGAAATACAGAGTAGACAGAAAAGTGCAGCCTCCAGCGGCCCGGCCCAGCGAAGCTTCCCCGGAGAGGAGGGGGCTGATTGCGCAGCTGCCTCTGGCTTTGGCCGGGTTCCCAGCCCAGATCTGCCAGCACTGGCCGGGCGAGCTCGGGCAGGTTGCCTAACGCCTCAGAGCTGGCTCCCTCCTCTGTGCAGTGCAGTGATTATGGTCCCTGCCCGTGCGCTTGGTGCCAGGATTAGTGAGGCGATTAATGCACCACAGTGCCTGGCGCATCGTGGGTGCCGGGTGCCGGGATGGCTGTCATCACAGGTGTGACAGCTGCAGGGTCGCAGGGAGCACCTGTGGGCTCGGCTGCAGGTGCCCAGGGTGGGCTCTGAGGCTCCAGGTCTCGCCCCTCCCCGTACAGTGAGAAATCGGACTCTGTTCCTCCCTGACCCGCCCAAAGCTGTCCCTATACGTGAAGGCGCGTGCAGTCCCCCTTGAGACTTTAACACAAACCTCACCTCTGTTCTGGACAGGAATGACTTGGGTTAAATATAAAAAAGGATTTCCTGATTGTGTTTTTTGTTAATCCTCACCTGAGGATATTTTTCCCTTGATTTTTAGGGAGAGTAGAAGAGAGAGGGAAAGACAAAAAGAAACATCAATGTGAGAAAAACACATTGATTGGTTGCCTCCTGCACACGCCCTGACCAGGCCTGGGAGGAGCCTGCAACCTAGGTACGTACCCTTGACTGGAATCGAACCAGAAACCCTTTGGTTCAGGCTGACGCTCTATCCACTGAGCCAAACCACGTAGGGCCCGATTGTTTTTGATCTAAGGCTGCCATTCTCATATTACCCCAATGTCTTTGCCGAGTTCTCCGCCCAGCCGGCGTGACTCAGTGGTTGAGCGTTGACCTATGAACCAGGAGGCCACACTGTTCGATTCCCGGTCAGGGCACATGCCCGGGGTTGCAGGCTCAATCCCCAGTGTGGGTGTGCAGGAGGCAGCCAATCAATGAATCTCTCTCATCACTGAGTTCTCTCTCTCTCTCTCTCCCTCTCCCTTCCTCT